TGATTTCGATGCTCTGTGCCTCACAGAAATGTGGATTAGACCTGATGAATACTTTGGTCTAAAAAGCTGGTAGTGTTTTTTTGATGGTGATTGGCTATCAACACATCGTACCTGTAGTTTCAGTGTGGGTAGCATTTTCTGACACAGTGATTTGAACGGGGTTAAGCTTCTTGTTTGAGTTTTGCAGTTCCAGCTTCAATGGTGCCTGAGTGCCTCAGTAGCCTGAGGTGCCAGTATGTAACTGCAGCACCATTTAAGGTGGAACAGGAAAATTTGAACAAGAAGTTGGCAAATAAGGACCTGACTTCAGCATCATGTTATTTAGGCTATCAAAATATCCTACGTACAGTTTCATGTAGAGCTCTACCTATAAATATGCGCTACGCTAAGTTAGGACATTTTGACTAACGTTAGTAATGTTAGTTTGCTATCAGTTATCTGTATTTAAGCAGTTAGCTAGCATAGCCATACTTTTCCCCTCAGTTACAAAAAAGAGCAGTTCATATGCACCCCTGGAAAGCCACATGCAATTATTAGATTAATCCACTCGGGAAAGCAGACCGCAGCACAACCCACAATACAAAAAGTTATTCCGCACATTTAGCGCAGTTACATATTTCCAACAGAGAGGTTGCCAATTCCCCAAATTTGCCCAAAGTGCAACTTTACCAACATGTTCTTGGCTCACTTTCAGGTACTTTGGAGTAGCAAAGTATAACAGAACAAATCAGCTAAACAATCTAATTTTTCTTCTCTAAAACTGCTAAGCCTTAAAATGAACAATTTTTAATAGAAGCACTGCGGTTAAGAAGAGCATCTAAAACTAGGTGGTCATGCTCAAACTACTAGAACTCTACGACAGGAAGAAATGAACAGCTAACATCACATCACACAGTGTGAGTGTGTGTACTATTTCAGGCAATATACAGTTCAGCATTGCTAACATCTATGCTCACTTAGTTGAAGTAGTTGAGTTTAGTTGACAGTCCTTCCAGAAGTAAGAAAATGGAATACTGCAACACTTTGGAATTGTATGCAAAGAGTGACAGAAGGACACAGAGTGGCAGGGAAAGTGGGCTTGTGTCATGATGCTTTGTATATTTGATATTGCGTGTGTTTGTCTGTGAATGCATGTGCATGTAATAAAACCAGAAGCTGGTGGTGTGTTAAGCCTCCTGATATGTAGTAGTTGTCGCACTGACTTAGTTTTGCCTCTCCCCCCTGGCTCAGATATGTGACCTCTGTGTTAAAGATGCTCTGTTTTTAAATTTAAGTAATTTAAGTATAAGATGCTGTATTTGTGGGCAGTGCTCTAATTGATATGCGTAATTGATGAGCAATAAACCAATGTGGGCGCTTGTACTTGCAGGCATTATCTGCACTGGCAGGTTTATCTGTCTAGAAGCTGCCATGTAGCTTCTGCACCCACTTAATCGATTCATATTCTCACTTATTCCATCACTCTTATTTTATTTCTTCAGAAGTACCCCCAAGCATGGAAAACTGCTTTATTAAACTATTTTTGTTTTAGATGTATTTTTGAGTCAGTGCATCTAACAATTCTTTGATGCCTTTATACCAACTTTTAGTCATCCCAGATAAGTCAGAACACAGACAGATTTGTTTGTGTTTGCCCTGTTACAGGTCTGGCACTGCTAAATGAAATTTGAAACATCCTAGTGAGCTCTTTTGTTTATGTGCTTGTTATTTATTGTCATAATTTTGGGCTATTAGCATCAGCAAAGGGGATGTTTGGTCAGTATTTCCACTTTGTTCTTACCACTTGCTCTATGGTTATATTAAGCTGTGCGTGTATGTGGATATGTGTATTTTAGGGGTGGGCAATATGCTGAGTATATAATCATAACACTTTAAGACAGCTTCACGATATTTAAGTATCAGTTGATCATTTTTTTTTTATTGTGCCCCACTGCATCTAATTAAATAGCACCAATTATACTCAAAGAAGACATGAAGACAAAAAAATAATCCTGTAAATAATCTGAAGTTATATATTGAAGTTATTTAGAAAAACAGAATGTTCTCAAAACCATGACTACATTTTTAAACACAAGCACTGTTATAGCACAATGATTTTCAGAGATCCCAATAACAAACTTGCAAGGCCAATTTATCAAACCCTGATGGAGGGTTTGTTGACTGTAGGGGCTGGTGCTGGGCTGGTGCAGATTTTTAGTATAACCCCCCTTTTTTCTTTAGACTACACCACTATTCAGCGGGACTGAATGAAAACAATCTTCTCTTCACAAGTTCACAAGTTTTCCCATTATGGTTACTACCTGGTATGACTGGTATAATAGAAAAAAAAAAACTTGAGTGGATGTGGGTGATGGGCTACTGGTAAAAAGCAATGCCTGACTGACTTTTGGCACTGGAGCATACTTGTAATTGTAAGTACTATATATATATATATATATATATATATACATATATATATATAGTACTTACAATTATAAGTATGCTGAGTGGCCAGTGCAAATGTTTATATCTGTCTACCCCTGAACAGAGTGAAACCTTAGAGAAGTACAACACTTGGGAACTACTGGTCCCAAAACTGCTGATTTAAACCCACAATATGCTCCAAAAAGCTTATCATGGTGTAATTTAACAATATGATATCGTTATCATGATAATCACCCACCCCTAGTCGTATGTATAATATGTGCCTACACATAACAGTCAGCCTATAGTAGCATTCTCAGCTTTGAGCAATGGATAAGTGCACTGCAGAGACAGTCCCTCTCATTCTGTAGTCTTATGAATTGGGATAAATGTCATATGCTGTACAATGATTCTTCTGTTGAGATCACTGTGGGAGTTCACAGATCACAGTCACAGCTGTAGGCAAGATGGCCCTAGATTGTTTTGCTCTGACTTTCTGCATGTTCACATTGGTATCACAGGGCACTCCAGGCTTCTCTGCGCAGCGCATGATCACATAAATGTCTTTATATTTCAATTCTAGAAGTTTTGGTTGGATGTGTCCTTTTTTTAAAGCCCTGTGATGGAGTCACAAGCATGTTATTGGTGGTGTCAAAGTATTTTAAACCCAGATCACTCTTCTAGAGGTCAAGGAATGTGCTTTTGTTTTGTATGAGGCCTCAATGGCTTCACTGTGTAAGCATGAGGAAATAAGAGCTTTTATTGCAGGAGGCTTTTAAGAGCTTGTGGCATTGCTCAAGGTGAATGATTCAACTAACTCTGCTCTGTTATTGCATCACATTCTTTACTTTTCCTTGTTCTTAACCCCTCTCCCCACAAAGTACTGGTCGAATTGGTGCAGACTAGGGGTGCGGGAAAAAATCTGTTCTTAGATGCATCGCGATGTGGACGTGAACGATTCTGAATCGATTCACAAATGTCAAAAATTGATTTTCTAAATATGTAATTTATAACATAATGTTGACGGAACGCAAAGGGCGGAACTTGGAAGTGCGGAAGTGCAGCGCCCGGACAGTCTGTGGCGGCACATAACAAAAACACAAGTGGAAGAGCGAGAAATCCGGTCGGCTCCCTCTGCATTAAAGCCAGGTTAGATCAGGAGTCACAACCCAAATGTTAAGAGGAGCCATTTTGTCCTTTCGACAAAAATCAAACCACCTTGGGAGCCGCAACATTTAATGTCCAGTATGTGATGATGTCCTAGTATAGGCTAAACAATCTAAACGAAAACACAGATTTACTTTGCTCTGCTTTAAACTTTAGCTCAGCTATAGCCGCTTTCCTCCCATCTCCGCCAGAAAACTTTTCCTCAGAAGTAGATCAGTTTCTTTAAAATGTCTCTCAACGACTGTTTTATGAGGCTAAAGTCGCTTCTTATTCTCCAGCTTCTTGTTCGAATTTACCCGTTGGAACGGGAGAATTCGAAAGAGAAGCTGACTTCATCTTCGCCACTTTTTAGTGTGTGACAGTCTCTCGTTGCAGATTTAACGTACCAGGAAACCAACTGCAGTGCTTATGAATGCGAATAACGCATCGCTGCTATGTGACCTGCAGTCTGCACGCCGGTTCTCAGTCGTTGCGAAACAGGGCTTTCGTGCTATGTTGCACACGCCCCATCTCAAAGGTGTTTTACTGACACAGCGATCCCCCCCATCCCTCTCTCTACAACAAGACCAAAAACGAAGTTATAAAATCACTAAAGAAAATGGGTAGAATAGCTGTAACATGTGCTGTGTGGACATCCACTGCCACTGGATCTTATTTCACCGTAACTGCGCATTTTATTGCAGATGAGTAGCAGCAGCTTCTCGTGCTCCAAACAAGAGCACTGAATGAGAACCTTCTAGTTCACTTGCCACATCACTTCCATTTGTTTTATTAAAAAAGATATTGGAAGTAAATTCATTATGGATCATTACAAATACTTTGCTTTAAAAGTACCAAGTCACTTTAAATAACAATAACACTGAGTCACTTAGTCACTTTAAAATGTATATTGTCTCTATATTCTGTATATATATTGTGTATATTTAATATATTTCAGTTGGTTTTTCTTGTATTTTTATTTTTACTTATTTACTTTATGTAGAGTGATTACCTGAGCCTCACCACAAGCATTTCAATGCATATATGTCCTGACATGTTGTGCAAATGACAAATAAACTTGAAACTTGAACTCACACAGTGAGAAAATATAAATGCTATATAGAAAAAAAAGATGCATCGATAATCGTTTTATAATTGCATCGCAGCCCTCTGAATCGTGAGGTGCCTAGAGATCCCCACCCCTAGTGCAGACTGTATGAAACATTTAAGGGCACAGCTAGGTCAATCAGCTGAGTGTTTGGTTTAGAGTTTGGAGAGCAGTGATGACTCCCAGTCTGACATGCTCATTAAATGTTGGATAGGATTCCCCCTTGGGCCGCACTGTAATATATTAATGTTTATGTATTATGAATTGTTTTTCTCCATGTGACCAGTAGAGCTTGTAAAAACCCCTGCACCAAATCTCATGACATGTTTTTCCCTTTTTGCAGGGCTAGCGGCTGTGTTGCTGTGGATGATGGTGTAGACAGCAGCTCTGTACGGGCAAGAGAGTGAGAGAGAGCAACAAGGACACTGGGTCAAAAAGACTCTCTCCTCACGTCAAGTTGACATACACACAGTTCTTTCACTACAACATCAGGAAGGTGAAACCCACCTGAACGTCTACTTCCAGATATAGTGATACCAGACATGCTACTGTGCAGGAGGGGGCCTTATCCCACTCCTCTCCACAGGGCCTTCCACCTCATACTCTTCCTCACATCCCTCTGTCAAAGTGGGATGCTAGAAGCCTCTCTCCCCTCCTTCTGGACCTTTGTCCCATCTGAGGGGGGGCTCACACACCTAGTCATCCACAATAAAACGGGTGATGTCTACATAGGTGCCATCAACTGGATCTATAAGCTCTCCAGCAACTTGACCAAACTGCGCAGCCATGTGACAGGTCCAGTGGTGGACAATGAGAAATGCTACCCGCCACCTGGGGTACAATCCTGCCCGCATGAGCTGTCACAGACAAACAATGTCAACAAGCTGCTGCTGCTAGACTCAGGGCAAAACCGGCTCATTGCCTGCGGTAGCACGTCACAGGGCATCTGCCAGTTCCTGCGACTTGATGACCTCTTCAAGCTGGGTGAGCCGCACCATCGCAAAGAACACTACCTCTCCAGTGTATCCGAAGCAGGTACTATGTCTGGTGTTGTCATCAGTGGCTCCCAAGGTGTAAGCAGTGGTAAACTGTTTGTAGGTACACCAATAGAAGGCAAATCGGAGTACTTCCCAACTCTATCTAGCCGTAAACTGATGGCCAATGAGGAAAATGCTGATATGTTTAGTTTTGTGTATCAAGATGAATTTGTCTCATCACAGCTAAAGATCCCTTCAGATACACTTTCTAAGTTCCCCACCTTTGATATCTACTATGTTTATGGCTTCAGCAGTGAGCAGTTCATCTATTACCTGACCCTTCAGCTGGACACACAGCTGACTTCACCTGATGCTAGTGGCGAACAGTTCTTCACCTCCAAGATCGTACGTCTTTGTGTAGATGATCCCAAGTTTTACTCTTATGTTGAGTTTCCTATCGGATGCACCAAAGATGGGGTGGAGTACCGGCTGGTCCAAGATGCCTACCTTACCCGACCTGGTGCCAGACTGGCTCGATCACTAGGCATCTCTGAGAGGGAAGAGGTACTGTTTACCATATTTGCTCAGGGCCAGAAGAACCGGGCCAAGCCACCCAAAGAATCAGCCCTGTGTCTGTTCACATTGCGCAAAATCAAACAGAAGATCAAGGAGAGGATTCAGTCCTGCTACCGGGGGGAGGGCAGACTGTCCCTGCCCTGGCTGCTGAACAAGGAGCTGGCCTGCATTAATTCGGTGAGTTATTTCATGTGTTAAATTTACAAGTACTGAAATAATATTATGATGCCTACATTACCTCAAATGTAGTTGATCATGAAGTTTCTAAAGCTGAAGAAGAAAACTTCAGAAGCTACCTAATCAGCTGCATTTGAGGTAAGGAGAAAATTGTGTAATTTTTTGGCTCAATTTTTCCTACAGCTACAGTTTTTGCTGATTTGTGTACTGTTGTGTATCTGATAGTTGTGATAGTTTCACACTCTAGCACTTGTCTGAAATCATTCCAAGTCATGATCTGAAGTCAGTGAAATGTTTTGTAGGCAGAAAACCTGTTGTAAGAATGGAAAAAAACAGTGCTTGCACAGCATTGCCTTCTGCCCTGATCTTTCAGGCTAGCTGCATGACTAGAATCAATGTCGTAAGTCAATGAGTTTGGGCACTAGCCCAAGCCTGTGTGTGTGTGTGCATGTGTGTGAGAGAGAGAGAGAGAGAGACTGAGGGAGAGAGACAGAGATGTGTGTGTTGTTTACCAGGCAGCTTAACTCTGCTGTAGTTTGCTTGAGGCCACACTACTGGTCACATCATTAGCTCAGTCCCTGGGATTAGTGTTCTGTCACTCTCCGGCCTCACATGTCCCTGCTCCTTGGGCACTAATTGATTTAAAGTCCAGAAGTTGTCAACTCTTTGTTGTTCTCGTGGGACCTCTGGGCTGGTGGCAGAACTGTACAAATGGAAAGATGGTGTGAGTGTGCATGGCTTATTCCCTCATTGAATGCACTCTTGTGTTTGCTCCTCAGTCATCTCTCCTCATCTTTGCACAATACTGAGGATTATTCCCCGAGAATAGCCCAGGTCCTCCTTCTACTTATGTGTGCAGCATGTTTCAGAGTGCTTTAACTGTGTTGGAAGGTACAGGCAGAAATGGTGAGACACTTTCAGAGATCAAGGAAATAATAAAATAATAAAGGGAGAACTGATGCAGGCAGATGAAGTGAGAGAGTCAAACCAAAGACATCACGGACATCAAAGACAGCACTTGAGAATCTCCTAGCATGTCAGTTATTTTGTTCTTTTTTGCCTTTTAAAATATTGCAATTGCAATTTTCTGGTGATACAATGATGTAGTGATTGAGCTGCCAACTGTTAATGACTTAAGCATCAAAAATGATCATCAGAATTTCCCCATAAGCTCTGTACTGTCCTATCAGCAGCCTGTGTCTAATCTAAGCTGTTTCTTGTCCTAGCTGTGCACTTTATGTGGTGTTTGCTGCCCACTCTTGTCCTGGCTCAGAGCTTAACAGCAGAAATAGCAGTGGTGGTAGTTCTTTATCGACAAATGTCTGACATTCGTATTAGTGATAATAACCACAGCCATTATAATGATGGGCCTGGAGCAATCTGCCTAGATAATGACGCCGGCACGGCTGGCTGAATCTGATGAAAAGATAACGTTCCAAGTGTCCTCCATCGGCAAGGAGCTTCCAGCTTATGAATAATTCACCCTGCTCACCTTGTGTTGTTCATTTGTGCTCCATCACAATCAGCTTCCAATCAAAAGTCCCTCTGCCTCCTCGTTCCACTTACAAGCAATTAATGTTGTCGTTTGCCAACCACAAAGCACACACTGAGATTCAGATTTTTCAGGAAAGGAGCCGACAGATGGGAGAGGGGACTGAAACAAGAGAGACAGATAGAAGGACAGACAGGTTTTTGTGGCTGACAGGCTGTCTGTTTCTGACATCTCTCTTCTGCCCAGTTGTCTTGTTCCTCATGGTAAAGCTATGCGTATGTGTAAATGTGATGCAGTACATGATGATGGTCATTGATTACCATCTGTGCCAGTGCATGCAGTCGAAGAAGGACATGTCAAGAGGGTGAAGTAATAATTTCATACAGGTTTTGGTTTTATCAAGCTTGCGTCTTAGCAAGCGTATGTCCCCTGTGAGTACTCTTCATTTTCATCTATTACAATTGCCCCATTAGATGCAGATCAGATCTTTTGTTTTTTTAGTTTCTTTAGTTTGATTCTTTTTTCAACATTTGTTTAATGAGTCCCTTAGTAGTAGCCTAGATAAGAATGCCTAAACATACTTAAGAGACCTATATGATCATATTTTATTTTGTGTCCATGTCCATCTTCCCTTAGAAGAAAATACTCCTAGTAGTCTTTCTTTTTCTCTTCTAAATTAAATTTAACTTTTAAATTGTTAACTCTAAATCGTTTCTTCTAACATACCCCCAGATGAAAACAGATGCATGGAAACAGATCCATCTAAGACAAACAGTTTGAAGCATAAGTAGTGCCGGAGTTCTCATTGATCTGATGCTATGCTTCTGGATTTCTCATGGGTTCCTCTGCAAAAACCTTAGAGAGCAATAAAGGCACTTTATAAGTACATAAGACACAATTTTAAATTGAAACTTAAGAAATATTTGAGATCTCAATATTGTCTGAAATTGATATGATTAAAATGTTAATGTATGTCTCAAATGTCTTAATCAGAGATAAATGAAAATGTTTGAGATGTAAATAAACTGGAAATAATAATAATTGGAGAAAAATGCAATCCTTTAATTAGAAAATAAGGAAAAAGGTATACTGTAAGCTTCAGATCTGATAAGTAACATTATCATGCATGTATCACACAGCAAGCTTTCAGTGACAGTTTAGCATTTCAGTCAAGTTTGTTTTTGGCTTGCTTGATAAACTTCTATTGTGGTAACATTAAGCATGTTATAAATATACCTCCATATATGTTTGATGTAATTTTTTCTATTAAATCCTGTATACTTTTTCACCCCAGGGACAGAGCCCTAGGGCTACATGATTTGTTTTCACATAGAGCTAAGTACCAAAAAAAAAAACATACTGTAAAGCCTCCTTACTGACTTGTGTTACAACCAGGGTTACTCACCTGGTACTCAAATAACAGGACAATGTCCCCTTTCCTCCTTGTTGCTGACTACACTGCCTCATTTGCTTCAGGAGAAACCACTGCTGAAGATGAAAATGTTTTACCATCACGTATTGAGGTAATTAGAATGGGCACCTTCCACCCCAGTCCAATCTTCCTCAGTGCAGTCCTATTATAAAGAGTAAAAAAGAAGAGAAGGAGACTTAAAATGAGGGGTGTTGTTTTAATAAACCTGCCTTCCTTCTGAATGTATTGTATTCTTTTGTATCACACGCTACTATAAATCTGAATTAACTGAAAATTGGCTATTATTTGTTGGTTTATTTAATTAAATGGATTATTGCTATTAGAGCAGTCGTTCAATAACAAGACAACATTATGGGTTTTAGTTTTACTTCAGAGAAACCGTAAAATTATCTTTTCAATTTAAATTCTTAGTCAAAGAAATCAATAATTATTGTGACTTTTTATTTTGCAGTCTCAATACTTCATTCTCACCACTTCACAGTGTCTCCAAGAAAGAATTCATAAAAATATTCCCAAAACCAAGTGAAGAAATATTCTGAACATGGCTGTGTCCAGCAAGCACTAAGTTGTCTGTATTTAAACATCTGATATTACAATGAACAGGTTTAGACTGTGCGTCCCTTTCATTTTAAACTGATCCTTATGCTGATGTTCAGTTAGCTGCAGGAAAGGAATACATTAATTTAAATTGGACTTCATTTATTCAGACTAAATTAACATAGCACTGGTGTTCAGAAGCTTCTAAAAAAGTAGAACAGAAATTTAGCTGCAGAGGAATACATTTGAAAGCATGCTTTATTATTGACAAATATCTAAGGGAAATGCACAAGTTTAAGACCTGGATGAGTGATAAAGGCTGCTTCTTTATATGAGCCAACGAGCTAACACTGGAGCAAACCACTACAACAACGTACTTTCTCCTTGGTGGGATGATCTGCCAGCATGTTAGTTTGTCAGAGATCTTCAGATATATTTTCATTGCATAGCTTACCTCAGCTAAAGCAGTTAGCCTAGTTAGCATAAAAGCTGCTCCATACCCTACCACACACAGAAGCTGTGAATAAGAAACTAACTTCAGCCAGGTTCTGCCTTTTCTGTCATTGTATTTGGGAATTTGCTTATGTGTTAAGGCATGCTAGGTTTATTTATAAGAAAGTATAATTTAACCTGCTTTTTACAGTCCCACTAAAACAGCTGCTTAAATGTTGGCCCTATTATCAGGAGATCACGAGTTCAATCCCTGGTGATGCTACAGCCATCTGTGGCTGGGAGTCCAAGACAGCACAATTGGCCTCGCTCTCTCTGGGTAGGTAGGATGGCCCCCGTCTCCCCCATCATTAGGTGCGTGCTAGTCAATGCAGGCAGCTGTTAGCTGATGAAACAGAAGTGGCGGTTGGCGCTTTCCTCCCAGTGTGTTCGGCTGTCCAAGTATGTTGCGTTAGCTGCAGTTTGAAAAGATGTGTGGCTGGCTTCACAGGTTTCGGAGGAAGCCTGTGCTAGCTTTCACCCTCCTAGCGCTGGTGGTATCATGTGACTGGTGGAGTCCTAAGTAGTGGGTGGAATTCGATATGATCAAATTGGGAAGAAATCCAAAAAAAAAAAAAGCGTTCTCAAGAGCCCATGTACATCCCTAGTCTTTAATTTGCACTTTATAACAATAATGAAAATCATCAAGCAGTCATTGTACGTCATGGCAGGGATATTAACTTCATATAGTTCAGTAGAATAATGCTGCCCGTATAGGCCTTTTTGTTGTGGTGTTGCTTACTACCAATACTCTTCTTTTGTGGATTTATGGTTCCCATAATGACAGAGGAACTTTCTCAAAGTTCCAGGTCACCTTCTGTGCCAGCATCAAACCCTTTTCCAAACGCTATGCATTTTACCCATAAAACGTGAAATTAAAAAACACAAACAAATTAGCATTGCTAATGAGCTTTTTCAGAATGCCCTCAGGTGACATAAAAGAACAGTGGAGGAATAAACAACAAAGAAATGCACACTTTGTAACTTCCATGTTGTGCATGAAATACTGCTCTCTGTAATGAAACATCGAATCGCCATTCACAAAAACCT